GCTTTGGTGGGACCTTCATCACCACCCTCTCCTTATTGATTTCCCTTTTTCCTGTTTATTTTCTCTCTCTCCCTTTCCTTGCATTTTTTGATCATTTTAAAACTGTGAATAAAAAAATTTCTCACTTTAAACATATGTTTAATCTATTTTTTAATCTTTTTTATACTTTAATGTATTTTTTGATTTAGTGAAGCGCCTCATGACTTGGCTTGAGAGGCGCTATATAAAAGATCGTTTTCTTTCTTTCTTTCTTTCTTTCTTTCTTTCTTTCTTTCTTTCTTTCTTTCTTTCCTGAAAGCTTGTAGAATAAACAAAACTACTTTGGCTGATTATGAGTATCGCCTCAGACACAGAAAACACCTAACCTAGAAACCTAGACAGACTGTAGCAGTAACAAAAGATTTAGCTCTTCAGTCCAGCCACGCTCCACTAGAGCCTCAGCAGGTCCACCATCGGCTAGACACAAAACACTTTTGTGTTTTGTGTCTAGCCAATCACAACACTCTATATTGTTGGCCAGGAGAAAACGTACCATAAACAATGGTAATGCTGTTTTAGCTCCTTAAGGATAAATTATTAAAAAAGCTCAGCAAAAATTTCAGCTCCTTTTTCTGGGCTTTCTTTTACCGCCGTTACTGTTGCTAGGCGACAGGAGATGCATGTCATGGGATAAATACGAAGGCTACATTTCTAATTTCCGAGCAGCTCACGTCCAGTGTTCATGGTTGACCAGTGCGAGCTCCGGACCTGCTCGGGGGGCCCTGCCCCCGCCGATGATGTGGCACTACAGGATTTGCTGGAAGTTGGCACGTTGACAAAGAAGATTTTAGTTTGTGCAAACCAAAGATGGGGTTGTAGTCTTTTCTAGTTATAGTTCTTCCTTGTAGAAACATGGATGACTTAAGCATCTTTACCTCTGTAACCACAAAGAGACTAAATTATCTCTAAAATTCATTTACTGACTTGGGGAAAGTAGGATTTGGGGAAATCTTACGAAATAGAGCACAATTTTAAAAACTTTATTGAACAAATGGCAACAACATGAGAACAAATGCAAGAATCTACCTTTATACGAAGAGCTCAGGGGTGGTAATTATTTAAATACACATGTGAATTAGGTTTAGAGCCGTTCTGTTGGTTTTAGAGCTTAACTGGTTTGAAAAATCAGGTGCTTTGTAGTTTGTCCTAGTGGTGTTGCCATTCCTGATATTAAACCTTCAGGCTAATGGCTGACTCTTGTATTAGGCTTCCCTTTGCTAGCATCTGTGTTTTAGCAGTATCATAGTTTAAAATAATGAAAGATCATAATGTCCTTCCAACTAAGACAAGAGATGACACGTTTTTGTCCCTTTAGGTTCTTATCGGTGCTAAAATGAAAGGTCAACTGCCACATCGGGTTAAGGACTTTTGCTAACACAGAATTAGCTCACAAGATGAATTCCGTGACTTTATATTTGTTGTCCGGGGGATGTGAGGTGGTGTTGGTCCCTTAAATAACGTTAATGCTGTCTGCACGTAATTGTTTGTTTCCCTTACCCCCACCCTGACCACTTGCAATTAAAGAGGATTAAATCTTGCAGACTGACTTTTTTAATTAGCCTTAAATTTAATTTGGTAGAATTAATTGGATCAGACTCTGCAGAAATAATTAAGTTCTTGATGTTTTCCTGTTGTTTTCTCTGAGCAATTCCCAGAAGTTGTTCCAAATGTCAAACTGGCTTTTAGTCTTGTATTTAATTTCATTACAAATTCATTTCAGGTAGCGTTCTTTTGTTTTTCTAAAATATGCAGACATCCTGATGGTGCTTTTCCTTCGTACTTGTTCTCTATCTTCTTCTTCGCCTTCCTCCATTCCCTCCCCTTTTCTCCATGCTCCATCTTCATTCTGCCCTTCTCTACCACTTTGCCTCTCCCTCCATCCCTCTTTCTCCCTCCCTCCTCCTCCCAGAGTAATTCCATCTCTCTCCCAGCAAACAAAGAGAGCTAATGACATGCTGACACCGAGCCTGATGATTGAATTCATTAGGCGTGCACAATAATTGCCAGGCGGCGGCGTGCACGCACTCATCTATTCAGGGGACAGCTGTCAAATAACAAGCAAGAGAGAATGGCTTTTTATTGTTGCACTGGAATAGAGAGTGAGAGTGAATATAAGGAAAGAGCGAGAGATGCACCTGTTGTGGAAGGAGGGGAGAGAAAGATCTCAGCATGTCAATTAGGCTGATGTGTTCACGCGGGGTTGCTGGGAAGTTTACTGCCTAGGTGACACATTCGGCATCGGGACTCAGGTGCAGCTTCTGTGTTTTTATCTGCTTCTCTCTGAATCTTTTGTGTCAGAAAAGTTTTAAAATAGGCTTTGACATGGCTATTAAACTGTCCCCGACTGGGTATGCTTAGCATTTGAATTCCACACTAAAATGGCATGCATCTATTTGCATTTCTTTTGCACGTGTGAGAGAGGCAGCAGAGTAAACAGCACATGGATCGGGCTGGCCGTCCGTTATAATCACTGGTCCCAGAGAACACCTGTAAACTACTGAAACAGGAAGAGATAGCATTCGGCTGTCGGGCACCGCGGTGGAACACAAAGTCTGATAAGCGCAACTTTCTGAGAGTTCCTGTTTCTGCCTGTTCTGCAAGACTCTGCTCTACACGCAGCTGAGAGACTGCCAGCCTCTGTGCCAAGTCCTAAAATGGATCTGTTCCATCTTTTTATTTGCAGATTGGTTCTCCTGACACTTTAGGAGCCAGTTTTTAAAACTTATTTCACTGTTTTGCTCACTTCTGTAGCTCAAAAGAAGCTGTAGCTCTGCCATGGCTGATAGATACCCGCCGTTTCCGCAGAGACCTCTGACTCTATCACCTGCTGCAGTCGCTAAAGATAAAAGTGAGAATCTATTTTTTCAGTTCTAAACCCACATGGCTCATCTGATCCCAGCATTTGGTCACATCTGAGGTTGTTTGTAGGAGGTGATGAGTGGATGAGTCATCTGCTGTCAGCTTCATGTTTAAACAAAAAAAAAAAGTAAAGTGGTAGCTGGGCGGAGTGGCGACCACCTTTCCCTCACCTTTGTGAACCCAGACGAGGCTACCAGTATTCACCCAACATCCATAAACGTGATGTAATGCAAACGTGCTGACAGCTGGGCGCTGGTGTAAGTGAAACCTCGTTTTGCACCTGCAGATGCTTCACAATAAAAGCTCTCCTACTGTATTTACTTTAATGCACCGGTACTTGAGATTCGTCTCGGGGGAAATGATGCAACTGTGCAGCTCGAGTCTGATGCAATTTGTTTCAGACACAAATGCTAAAAGTAAATCAAATTATTCTGTCAGGCTCTCAGAGCCACCAGAAACGTCTGATCCTGATGTTTTAATGTGAAACAAGGATCCCTCACATGCTTTAAATATGTAAACATACATGTAAACTCCTAAACCTAATTCAACACTTGGGTAGAAAATGTTTTTCTGGAGCTTTTTTTGCTATAATACTAGAAAAGTTTTTCACATACTGATGGAAACCAGTACAGGGAATGGTTTGTTAAATAAAGGAATACGTTTAAGTCTCATCCAATCCTTGTGACTCTATTCCTAATGTGTCCATCAAACTGATCTCTGACTGTTCCTCCCAGGGGCGGATTCAGCAATTTGGGGGCCCAAGGCGAACACAGACATGGGGCCCCCTTACACTAAATTTTCGACAATCTTATCTTTAACTGGATTTGCGAAACTCTCCCCTCTTCTGACATGAGTTATTTTTATTAGTTCTCCCTTTGAGTGCCTTCAGTATTTGCTCTGCTTTCTTCTTCTCGTCAGTGCTCCTGTGCTTTTGCCTTTCACTTTTTTTTCTATTTTCCATTTTGGTCCATGTTTTCCTCCCTTTAAACATTGTTCACTGTCTTTCCTTTTCTGCTTCCTTTTGATGTTTACATTAAAAAACGACGCCACTTTTGGAAGTAAAGATAAAAGCTTTTTTAAAGCAAGCTGCTTCTTTCTCTTATGGAGCCACTAGGATAACTCCATTTCATGCTTTATGTTTTGACTACGTCGCCTCTTGTCAGTGCGCCCCAGGGCAGCTGTGGCTACATCGTAGCTCATCACCATCAGTGTGTGAATGGTGTAGTGTAAAGTGCTTTGGAGTCCTTACTCTGAGAGGTGTTATAGAAGTGCGGGTCATTTATCATTTATCATTACTGCTTCGAGTTTGTTACGAGCGCTCCCGCCTCTCTCCTTCTTCTTCTGTATTCTCTTCTTCTTATTTGTGGTCTTATGGCACTTGGCAAACAACAATTTGGTGCATTACTGCCACCAACTTGATTGAACTGGAATGACTACATATCACTTCCTGTTTGTGCATCAGCATCTTAAAGAAATAGTCCAATGTGGCATTAACAGAGGGGTGCCAGCAATCGGGCCTAGGGGCCCCCCCAACATAAAGGGGCCCCAGGCGGCTGCCGACTTATGCCTAATGGTAAAATCCCCACTGGTTCCTCCCCCATCTACACACACCCTTCTATGTGTGGAAGTCAACCAGAGCAGTGCTAGCTGTATTAGCTAGCATAATAAATTTTTATACGGTTACGTAGGTTCCTTGTGTCAGGAAATACGTTAGAAAAGGTGTCAACAGCGGGTCGAGAAGGTACGATAACCGTAACCGTTGGGTCCTGTAGTCTAGAGGCGCGGCTTAGGGGCGGAGCCTGAAGAAGGGGAATGTTGCTTTTTCAACACATGCAGAATAAAAATGTTGTAATGTAAAACGCTGAATAAGCTAATAAGCGAGCAGTGATGGTAAAGTGAGTGATTCTGTTATGATGCAAATAAAATGTCTGAAAAAGAAGAAAGTTTTTACTGGCGACCCAAGCTAACCGTAGCAGTAAGCTAACCTGCTCCTATCTCTGTGTAAATTATACAACTAACGTGTTAAAGAGCGTGATGTCGATACTTCCAGATATTCCATCTTATTTTGGATGCATCCTGTTTCTGTTTTGTTTTTGTTCCAGAAACCAGAGGAGGATGAACTCGTTCTGACCCCCGACGGAACCAGAGAGTTCCTGACCTTCGAGATCCCGCTCAGCGACTCGGGTTCTGCAGGCTTGGGCGTCAGCGTCAAAGGGAACCGCTCCAAGGAAAACCACGCAGATTTGGGAATCTTCGTCAAATCCATCATAAATGGAGGAGCAGCTTTTAAGGTTCAAAGCAAATCTTTTTATTTATTAATGATCTGAGGGTAAATATTAAGATTATCAGAGGTCTGTTTAGGATTTTATTTATCCATAATTTTATTTGAGGTGCATCATAATAAATTTTTAATGACTTTTTAATTAAAAGAACATAATAAAATGTGTTGATCTTTAACACTTTATGCTCAGTTAGGAAATAATGTAATTTATTTACTTTACTGCTGGAAAACAGGAACATAGAAGCCTTCCAGTAAACTTTCATCACTTTTAATCACTAAAAAATACAAAAAATGTAGAAAATATGTCATTTTAGAAATGCAGCTGATCCTTAACAGGTTTGTGTGTTATAAAGAGTAAATGCTTTTTAATAATTGGCATCTTTGAGTTGTTTTATTTATTTATTTATTTATTTATTATCAGTCTTGTAACATTTTCCATGCATTTGGTTTAAAGTAACGTCATTTATTTCAACAACCCCTTTCACCGTCTCCTAAATAGGACTGAAATAACGAATAATTGATGTGCAAATGCATCTGTCAGTAGTAGATTATCCATTTGCATAAAGTAACATTTATAATCATTTGAGTTTAAACCACATTATGAGGCGCTGACAGTCTTTTCACCCCCATAGAATAAAGAATAAAAAGAACAACGCTTCAGCTGTAATTAGAGCACCGTGTGACCCACTTTCTTTAGTTAATATCTGTTGTAGCGTAGTTGTTTCAGTTCTTCTCAAACTTGTTTAGTATTTTACAGCCCAAAGTCATCAAAGTGAGACAAATGAAGATGTTGTTTGCTTCTCATTTGTACGTTCTGTATCCCGTACTACTCTCTTCTTACCTAAAGGACGGACGGCTCCGAGTTAACGACCAGCTGATTGCTGTAAACGGGGAATCGCTGTTGGGCAAAACTAACCAAGATGCCATGGAGACGTTACGCAAGTCCATGTCGACGGAGGGCAACAAGCGAGGGATGATCCAGCTGATCGTGGCCCGACGAGTCACCAAGAGGACTGAGGTGAGGGACGAGGAGGCGGGTGCTGGCTTCCAGCGTTAAGTTCAGTAGGAAATAAAGCAAGAATGTTATGGAAGTAACTTTGGAGGGGCCGTAGCCAATCAGATAGCAGGACTTCATACCTTGTAGGCAGCAGACCACTGCTGCATCTTCCATGACTAGGTAGTCGAAGCAGACTCAGACCTAAAGCTCAGACAAGCAGCTGCTGTGTGAAAATGATGAATCCCATTGAAACAATCTTAGTACATTAGCATCCAGATGTTTGGTGCGTTCTGGCTGTTGTGAGTAAACTGAGTGGCAACTGGCTGAAAGTGAACAAAAAATCCAGAGTTTTGATGCATCATTCATGTCTGTACTCCAAAGGTTTTGGGAGTAGACCCCATTTGTTTAAGACTCTCTTTATTTATTCATTTATTTATTTATTGTTAGTCGCAGACTTGTCTCTTTGGCAGGTCATGTGACTAGAGTGCAGAGCTGCAGAAAGAGACAATTTTCACATGAACAAAGTCTTCCTATTGACACAATTTTTGCAGTAAATGCAAAGAGTCATCTATGAAACCATGAAGATGTGTGTGTGTGTGTGTGTGTGTGTGTGTTGAGCCAGTGTAGCTCTCATTTCTATAAGACACACAGTCCACTCAAATATTAGCTGACAAGGTGCAGAGAGCCCAACAAGTCTCCCATTCACCACAACTGTCCTCAACGTTTCCTGGAAGATCTTAAAGCGGCCTAAAGCCTGAACTAGGCTCAAGCGAGTTATCATGAAGCTGCTTCGGTTTGTCGGAGGCCAGCGTTTATGACTAATTTATTCTTTTAGTGATGTTTCAAGGTCAAAGCTTATTCAAGCAGGATGATCTCAAATGGCACAAATTCGTCCGGAGCGACGGCGGCACAGGAGTTAAGTGCTCGCCTCATAATCAGAAGGTTGCGGGTTCGAGCCCCGCTCAGTCTGTCGCTATTGTTGTGTCCAAGACACTTAACTCCCCTTGCCTGCTGGTGGTGGTTGGAGGGACCGGTGGCGCCAGTGCTCGGCAGCCCAAGGGCAGCTGTAGCTACGTCGTAGCTCATCCCCACCAGGGTGTGAATGTGTGTGTGAATGACTGATTGTGTTGTAAAGCACCTTGGGGGGTTCCAGGATTGTAGAAGGTGGTGTGTCAAATACAGGTCGTTTACCATTCAGCATTTGGAGGATTCCTCATTGTTGTTATGACGTATTTTTAGGTGTTTCACAAATTATTTCACTACAGTGACTCAAAATGCCAAGAAAAGCAAAAGCACACCTGCCCAGACCAAGCCAGTCGATTCCGATGGGTGCGCCCTTCGGTTTGGACAAAATTAAGTTTAATGGGGAAAAAACAATAAAGGAAGAGGAGAGACCTCTTAAGGGGTGAAAAACAATAGAATACTTGTGTCAGAGCGTTCACCATGCAACACATTAATTCCATTTGTTTCTACTGCAGATCCTTTCAAAGGTCATGCTGTGTGTGTGTGTGTGTGTGTGTGTGTGTGTGTGTTGTGTGTGTGTGTGTGTGTGTGTGTGTGTGTGTGTGTGTGTGTGTGTGTGTGTGTGTGTGTGTGTGTGTGGCGCGTGCAGCTGCCTCCTATTTCACACTAAGATTTCACACTTTCACACCTCAGAGTTTTTCTCCCCGACTTCTGTTAAGCGAGCCGTTCTGGTGGAAAACTGAAGGATAAACACGCCGCATGAAGACGCGTCTTCAGAAGTTATGGAGCTAAATTATCATTTTGTTCATTACATTTCCAGTCCAGTTCAGCCAGCTAGCCTTTTTATTGCAACAGAAACACAGGTCAGATTGCTTACTTCTGTGTTTTTCAGAAATGAATTTAGCTTTGATCAAATAAATGGAGCTCAGGATGTGCACATGAACAGTATTCATAAAACACTCCATAGCAGACCACCATGTGAGCATCCAGGTGTGCTGGCCCATCCACACTCACTCATGCCTGCCTCTGTGCAGGTGGAGGAGCCAAAACAGCTGAGAACTTTTATTTTTTCCTCCCTTCAATGTCGTGTCTTTACATTCCCTCTTCGCCTTTGCATGGCGCCTGCTTGAGAGCTGAGCGTGTGTGTGTGTGTGTGTGTGTGTGTGTGTGTGTGTATGCCTCTGGCACTACCAGACTTCACTGTTCTCCTTCTCCAACCTGGTGTGTCAGAGTTTATATTTCCCCTCGGCCCGTCTGGTAATTGAAAGCAGAGGCTAAGCCTGAAGCTGTGTTTCTGTGTTCGTGCATGTGTGCACGTGTGTTTGTATCAGCCTGTCTGCATGTATATATAAATAAAGGTACATGAGTGTAGTGAAGGGTATAGTTTGTGCAATCAATGTATGTATTCATTATTTTCAGGGGATTTCTTTCTCTGTGTTTGCTAACAGACGCCTTGTGTGCGCGTGTTGCAGGCTTGCCAGCGCAGTGGGACTTCACAGAGTGCATGAAGAATGAATAAAAATTTGAGCTTTGAGAGTCTATCTGTGCTTCCCATGCACAGCTGGAGGCATGGACCGAGGCTGCCAAAGTGTTTGGCTATTTATAAAAAAAATAAACAAGTTGTGTCCAAAAAGTGAAAAACAAAGATGGAAAACAATTTAGTACAGTTTTACTGAGAAAGCCTGCTCAGAGTCTCTGAGAGGTTACTGCATGATAACACATCATAACCAGCTGCCAGTCAAATGTTAGTTAAAGCCTTATCACAACTAATTACTGTGGGATGAAAAGCCTTGGCTCATTTTGACATTTACTGACATATGGGATCAAATAATCCTGCGTTTTTGGTCCTCCACATGTCTCCACCCCCTGACAGCCAGTCTTAAATCAATCTGTAATGTTTGTCGCTGCATAAATCACAAGCCCAACTGCTCCTTTCCTTCCTCCATCCCAGAAACACTCTCAGAAAAGAGCTCCACACTCCCACACCCAGCGGGATCAAGGCCTTCCCAGGGCGCGCCTATCAGCCTGAATATGCAATGAGCTGCAGCGCGATTTGTCGATGCGGTGTCGGTCTGGCAAATCCCTTCTGCTATTACGGAGGCATTTCACCCCGGCTCCTCCATCAGCCAATTCATTAACTACCTCATTTAAAGTCAGCAGCAGCAGTCGCTGCACCATATGGCGACCTTTGAAATGAGTTTGTTTCCGAAGTAGATTTGTTGATTTTGTGTGAAGTTTGTAGTTCTGCTGCGTTTGTTTGACCAGGAAAAGACACCGCAGCTCCTAACTAAGGTGCTATCTGTTTTCAGTAAAACATGAACTCTGCAGGAACTGTGTGTTAATAATAATAATATTAGCTTGTCTCCGGGTTTTTTTTTGTGCTCCTCTTTATGGCAAATTAAAGATTCGGAAAAGTTTTGCATGCAGGGCTGCTTTGGCAGCTCTGTTTCTGAGTGAAGGTTGCAGGTTCGAATCCCAGCTGCGGCCTTTCTGAACCTTTCAAGTTGTTTGCCTCTGTGTGTGCCTGTGATGGACCGGAGACATGTCCAGGTTGTCCCCCGCCTCTCCCCTAATGACTGCTGGAGATGGACACCAGCTCACTGCAGCCCTACTGAAGGACAAGTAGGTCAGGAGATGAGTGAAAAGGTTTTGCATCTAAGTAAAATCCTTGCTGAAATCGTCGCCACATGAAGAGGAAATCCTGCTCATCTGCACGTTTAAGAAGTCATTCTCCACAACGATATTTCTAACTCAATCTTCTCAGCATTTCCTGTCGCCTCTCTGTAAACTGAACCTGCATGTTTGCATCAGATTCTCGTGGACAGCGGTTATTACAACACCTCTAACATTTAGTAAGAGGCAGGGATCATCGGTCAAAGACCTTTTGCCAAAATCGAATCCCAGCCTGGCCAGTTACAGTCATTGATCGGGGTAATTTGGCTCCAGTATTGACTCCGGCGTTATTGTTCGTTACGTGATGCCAGCGATGATGGTTATCTTTATAGCGAGGGCTGTCATCACCGTCAGCAAGAAATACAGACGCCATAGCAAATCAATAGAGTCAACGATCCAATGGACAAACACCGAAGGCTCAGACACCCACCGAATCACGCACTCGCACTCTCAGGCTGGAGATGTGAGCTTATGGGTGACAGACCCTGCAAATGGTCTATTTGTCCAGCAAACAAGAAAGTGTCATCAGAGGTCTTGAGGGAAATGTCAACATGGTAGCAAGTTAACCTTCTTGCACAGGGCTCAGCTGGCTCGCTAACAGCCACCAGTCTATTGAAAATCCATGCTCGTTTATCCTCGTTATCTCCCAGCTCGCATCAGCATGGAGAGCTGTCCTTCTCTGTTCATCTACTACTCTTTAGTAAATATTAGCACGGCCTTTAGGGTTATCTTTCTCTTTATTGGTCCATGAAGTCCTAAAAGACCTCAACACAGTTTGAACTATTCAAGGAGGAATTTATGTTTGTGTGTGAATAAAAACAGCATCACTTCCCGTTTCTTTAGGAGGCTCCAGGGAGCCCGCCGGGACCCCAGCAAACTCTGAACACCAGCCTGGACGATCACGAACGCAGAATCTCCCACTCCTTGTACGGGGACCTCGAAGGCTTCGATGACAACCTGACGCCACGTCAAGGAACAATTCCACGCACAATAGGTAGGACATATTTGTGCTACACACACACACACACACACACACACACACACACACACACACACACACACACACACACACACACACACACACACCTTATTCAACGGGAAAATCTGCCTGTTTTAGATGGGTTTTGGTTATTTGGAGCCGTATTTCTTGTAGACATAATTAGCTGCAGACTGCTGGAAAAACATCTTGTCAGTTTTTTCACTCTTTCTGAAAACCGCCTCTGCTCACACACACACACACACACACACACACTTCGTTTTTCTAGCGACGGTGGCACAGG